TGTTTATTCTTATTTTACCCTCATTTTAAAAGATAATTACAAAATATATTAAATAAAAAGTCTTATTTAAGTGATATTAATTAGGTATAAATATGAAATTTTATCAATAAATTATTACAACTTTATTTTATTAGATAAAAAAACTAAATTTACTAAAAATAAATGGATGGAGTATTAGATTATAAAGCTAATATTAATTTAATAATTTTTTGACTAAATAATTAATTAATATTAAATTTATTTTAAAAAATAAAAAATTATAAAAATTTTAATTTTAATTTTAGTTTTTAAAAAGTCGAATCTACTGAATTTAGTGTAAGACCTATGTGGTCCATCATGGTTTTGCCTTTTTAACCCCAAATCCAAAATTGACCAACCCTATTACCTCGATATCAGAAGCATTAATCCGTTAACTGGGGCCATGAATGTCTAATCATGGATTATGGGAATGATATTGACCATGCAATATCACAGAACAAGTTATCACATAACATGGCAAATGAATATGCCTTGGAAGTTCTCCATATAGATAATCCTCATTAGTGAGGGTGATTTATCTTTTCTTTGAGGACACTGGATGGCTTGATAAATTGGAGAAGAATCTACCCAGAAGTGATTTTTTGGAGGATAAGTATGGTGAATGTCTGACTGGATGCGGGGCAAAGCACTTCCAAAGATTAGGTATGCCTTTATATGTAGATTTTTTTATTTTAGATTAAATGTCAATTTTAATCCCTCAATTTTAGGGTTTTAAACGAAAAATGTGCATATATGAGACTAAAAATGTGTATATGTAGACAGATTTAACAGATTAATTGATGAAAAAACTGTATTTTTCATAATTGAGAGATAAAAAAAGTGCATAAAAAGTTAAGAGAAAATTTGTTCAAAACTCTAAAGTTGAGGGACCAAAATTGACATTTGATCTAAAATAAAATCTATTCATACAAGAGCATATCTAATCTTTAGAAATACTTCACCCCATATCCAGTCAGGCATTCACCATACTTATCAGCAGTGTTGTCAAAATCTAGATTTAAATCTTAAAATCTTACAATTTTACGATTTCAGCAAGGTATTTCGTGTAAAATCTATACTAAAATCTAAAATCAGATAAAATCTCGATTTTATTGTGAAATCAGGTAAAATCTCGATTTTACCTTCTGTTTGGCAGTTGGACTTTTTGCCTATTTCCTTTTGGGTTTTTCATCTTGGATTAGTGAGTTTTGACTAGATAATCCATAAATTAA